CAGAGCAGGGGGAGAGAAAGAGAGAGAGAGAGAGCCGGACAGAGGCAGACACCGGCTTATATGAGCGCGTATTCTGCGTCTCATCCTCCCCAGGGCTCAGTCCCTACCTTGTTGTGCTTGTTTCTAATCGCCAAAAAGGTTCGTCTCCCTCCGCCGCGCCCCCGCCCCCCCCCCCCCCAACGGTGGGTCTGCCATGAACCATTAGAAAGGGCACGAAGGCCGGCCCAGCTCCCCCCCACCCCCCCTCCCCCGGCGCGCGGCCCCTGCATCACCCCGCATGAGGCCCTGCGGGGGGGCGTCGTCTGCGCGAGTGCGGGGGGGGGGGGAGAGAGGCGGGCGGCATGCCCGAATCTGCATGTGTAGCCCGTGAATGTCATTCAGTCATTAGAAGAACCCCAACGACATTTGGCCTCCGTGGCTGGGCCAAATACAGATACCCCAGACTGGGCGCGCGCCGTGGCGAAAGTCCGGATCCATTCTGATATGCGGTGCTGCGCCGCTGCCGGCGGGACTGGAAAGAGGGGGAGCAGTCCTTGCCCCTGTGGGCCGACCTCCTTCGGGGGCCCCCTCCTTTCGGCGTCTAGCCACCACCAAGCCCCTCCCCCGCGCCTTGCGCCCCTCTCTCGGCCGCCGCTTGGAGGACGCACACCGTGCAAAGGAAGAAGAAGAAGGGGCACAACAGCCTTGCATCACCAACACCATCCCCGTGTCGATACCCCCCCCCCCCTCCCGTGGGGGCGCGCGCACGGGAGGAGCAGCGCCCAGGAGGGGGAAAACATGAGGCAGGAGATTCTCTGTAGACATGTATTTGCGCATGCATGGCGGTAGTGCAGTATAAGAGGGAAGAGAGAACAGGCACGTACAAACACACACGCACACACAAAAAGGGAGTGAGGGAGGAGAGAGAGAGAGCGAGGTCGGAGATGGATAGATGGAGGGGGAGGGGGGGCAGGGTATCCACACCCCCCCACCCATGCATCCACACACGCACACGCACACGCACACAGACACACACGCACACACGCACACACACACACACACACACACACATGAACGCGCACGCGAACCGGCGCGCCGCCGCGAGGAGGGGACTAGGAATCGGCGGACTTGGGCCCGGCGGCCACGGCATTCATGTGAGACATCCGCGCGGAGAGGAGCTTGTCCACCCACAGGAGCCGGGCCTCCGGGTCGGAGGCGATGAACACCTGCGGCCGGGTGGTGTTCATGACCAGGACCTCGGAGCAGCGCTCCTCGATGAGCGACGCGCACCGGGTGTGCGTGTGAACATTGCATGCGCGACACAGCACCGTGGTCACCTGCGACAGGGAGCTCTCGCAGACGAAGCAGTTGGCCGGCTTGCCGCTGGCCGCCGTCGGGCAGACCGTGAACTGGTGGTCTTGTCCGGAGACATCGAAGCGCAGCACATCCCCCGGCCAGTGGCCAATGGACACCAGCAGGGCCTGGCGCTCCTTCTCCACCTCGGCCAAGTGCGTCAGCATGCTCTGCACCCGGAGCCGAATGTCATCCAGGTGCCGCTGGGCCAACGACCGGCTAATGTGATCCCGCGACTCCAGCAGGCTGAGAATCAGCTTGATGGCGCCATCGCGCACGCCCTTCTCCACCTCCAGCTCATTGGACAGCTTGAGGATCTTCGCGTCGAGCGTGGCCACCGCCTGCGAGGAGGCGGCATCCGGGCCGCCGGTGGCGCTGGCCCCGCCAGCGGCCCCGGCCCCGGCCTGCTGCCCGCGCAGAGTCTGCAGCTCGCGCTCGATCGACGCCAGCTCCCGGCGGTGGGGGTCCAGCTGCTTCTCGATCAGGTTCTTCTGAGTCGTCGACCCGGCCAAAAGCAGGGCCTTCTGCAGGCCGCTGATGATGTTCATCGTGTGCACCTGGCGATGGGTCAGATCCTGCACGCGGGTCAGGACCGCCGGCGAAGCCGGCCCAGACCCCTCGGTCTCGGGCTCGGTGTCGGAGCTGGCAACCTCCGACGTGTCGACCGACGAGGAGCAGACACTGCTCTCGGACCCGACGCGCGAGGAGGTGGTAATCGGCTCGCCGGCCAGGCCCGAGGAAGTGCGCACGCTGCCTGCCCCTCCGCCGCCGCGGCCGATGGCCGCCGCCATGGCCAAATTGTCGTTGGATGCCGAGGACCCGACGCTGTCGATGGACCCGGCTGACCCGACGATCCCGGTGGCCGAGGTCAATGACGCCGCGCGACTGACCCCGGACGCGGTGGAGGACACGGACGCCGCGCGGAACAGCTGCGCCGGGTCGCCATTCGTGGCATACACCACGAAGATGCAGGGGATCTCCGCGATGTTGGGCGAGTCCTGCATCTTGGTGCTGCCAGGGCGAACGACAAAGTGCTTGGACCTGTGTGTTGTATGCCCGCGTATGTGTGTGTGTGTGCGCGCGGCAAGGGGGGGGAGCACACGAGGCACATACATCCACCCAAAAACACGCGCAGCAGCCACCGCCACACGGGACAACATGACGAGGAGGGGGGGGGGGGAGGGGGCGCACGGAAGGAAAATCGCAAACACGTTTTCGTTAGCAAGCAGGGTAGATCGTCAAAAAGGGGGGCGGGCAAGAGGAGGGCGGAAAAAAGGCAGAGGCGAATGGGGGGGCGGATCCCCGCCAAAAGGAGACCCCCCACCCCCACCCCCGCGCCCGCGCCCGGACCCGGCGGAGGGGAGAGGCACACGCACCGGATGTCAATGACCGGCGTGCCCTCGCCCTTCGGGGCATGGTCGCGCTTCTCGAACATCAAGACCTGCGCGTCGAGGATGGCAAAGTACTTGCGGTCCCAGCCCTGGCGGATGCCGTCAGCCTCGATCAGCATCTTGAGATACCCCTCGAGGGAGAACTTGCGCGACTGCGGGCGAATGGTCCGCAGCCGGAAGAACGACAGCATCGAGGAGGACTGCTGACCACCGGACGAGGCGCCCGCATGCGACAAGCCATGATGATGGCTCGTGCTGCTGGTCATGGTCGGCGAAGAGTGGCTCGACCCGGTCCCGGCCCCGGAAGAGAAGGAAGACGGCGAGTGGTACCCCCCGGCCGAGACACTCATCATGGAGGCACTGGAGTTCCGCCGCTCCAGCGGCGATGCCGGCACCGGCGACGCCAGCTCCGTCGAGGAGGTGGTGCTGTGCGAGGCAGCGGCCGCGGCCGCGGCAGTGGCCGCCGAAATGGCCGCCTCCAGCGAGGCCGGCCCCGAGCCCGACCCGGCCGCAACACCACCGGTGGGGGTGGTCACCACCGCCGGGCTACCCCCCGCGGCACAGGTGTGATCCCGGAATTGGGTAATCAGGTGGTTGGCATCGGCCAGCTCCTTCAGCAGGCGGCTGTTCCGGTCCTTGTACAGCTTGACATCGGTTTCCAGGCGCTCGGTCAGCAGCTCGGAACGGGCCTTGAAGGCGGCATACTCATCGCGCAGGCGCCGGTACTGGAAGCGTGACATGGTCTCCGGCTTCTGGGTCAGGACCGCCTCCAGGCGGGCCACGGTCGCCTGGTTCTTCTCGGCCAGGAGCTTGTTGTCCCGCAGCAGGGCCTCGATCTGCTGCTTGTCCTCGGCCGACGAGGAGGAGGTCTGGGCCTGGGCCTCGGCCAGCTGGGCCTGCAGGTCCCGGACCCGGGCCTGCTCCGAAGCAAGCTGCTCCGTCAGCTGGGCCGTCTCCTGGGCCGTGCGCGCCAGCCGGGACCCGGTCTCCTGGGCCTGCTCCTCCAGCTCGCGCTGGCGCTGCTGCTCCATCTGCAGGCGCTTTTCCAGCTGGACAACGTCCACCTGCACCACGGCCCGCTCCTTGCGCAGACTCGACAGGGTCTCCTCCAGGGCCCGGGAGGCCTCGTCCTGGGCCTGCTGCTCGGCGATCGCCTTCTCCAGGCGCTCCTCCAGGGACTTCTTCTCGGCCAGCGAGGCATCCAGCGACACCTGCAGCTGCTGGGTTGTCCGCTTTTCCACCTCCAGGTCGCTGCGCGCCCGGTCCAGCTGCCCGCGCAGGACCTCGCGCGAGCTGTTCTCCTCGCGGAAGTCCCGGCGCGACTGGTCCGCCCGGATTTGGGCCTCCTTCAGCTCGGTGTCCACCGACTGGAGGCGGTCCTGCAGGGCGCGCATCTCCTCGATGGAGCGGTTCCGCGCATTGTTGGCCTCCGTTAGCGACACCTCCAGCTGGGCATTGGCCGCCTGGAGCTCGGACTGCGTGGCCAGCAGGTCCCGCTCCGAGGCCACCTTCAGGTCAAATTGCGCCTGCAGCGCGGCCAGCTTCTTGGTTGTGGCGCTCAGCTCGTGGCTCGACGTCTCCAGCGACTGGTTCAGCTCCGTGATCCGGACCCCGAGCGAGGCCTTCTCCCGGATCAGGTCGTCCACCTGGGTGTTCAGCTCGGCCGCATGCTGCTTCTCGCTGGCCAGCTGCTTCTTCAGCGACTCGATTTCCTTCTGCGACAGGGAGGCCGCCTCCTCGTTGGAGGACTTGAGCGCCGAGGCCATGGCTGGGGAGAGGAGGGGGCGGGGCATGTTAGCATGAGAGCGGCCCTCGCGAAGCGCGGGGGGAGAGGACGCTGCATATTGCGGGACGCACATTGCTCCAGCTCCTCGACCTTGACCTGGAGCTGGTCGCGCTTGACCTGGGTCGTGGTCAGCTCGCGCTTGAGTGACTTCATCTCGGCGTCGATCAGGGCCAGTCGCGAGTCCGCCTCGTTCTTGGCCGTCAGCAGCTCGGTCTTGAGCTTCTGCTCGGCCTCCAGCGAGGACTGGGCGGAGGCCAGGCTCTGGCTGAGAGAGAGGATTTCTGCGAGAATGGGGCGGGAGGGGGGGGGGGGAGTCAGCGACCGGGCCATGCGTCGCTGCCACGGCAGGGAGGCAGGGTATATGGATAGAGGGAGAGAGGGGGGGGGGGGGCATATGGCGACGTACCGGTCTCGTGGCGGCTGACCTGGCGCTCGGCAGCCTGGAACTTGGAGGTGGCCTCGGACAGCTGGGTCTTGGTCTCACTGTGGGGCGCGATTCCGGGAGGGGCGCATTCGTTAGTGGGTGCACATTCGCCCCGAGCATGATGGGTGGGGGAAGGGGGGGGGCGGGGCATAGCAGCCGGGGGAGGCACATGAGAGACGCCCCGCGCCGCAAGCGGACGGAGAGCACACTTCCCCCGGCCAAAGGCGAGGAGGGTGGCCCCACGGCCGACCGGGGCACACATATGGGAGGTGGCTGCAGCATTGCTGGCAGTCCCCCCCCCCCCCCCTACGCTCGCCGGCCGTGATGACGGGCACAGGCCAAAGGGAGGGAAAGGAAAAGGAAAAGGGCACGAGAGCCGGACGGCTTCCGGGCCCCCCCCCCCCCCCCCTGCCGCTCCCGCCCGCCCGCATGTATGCATGTATGTGTGTGTGTGTGTGACGCACTCGAGGTCCTTCTGCGCAACCTGGCGCTTCTCCTGCTCGCTGGCGAGGGCCCGCTCGAGGGAGGCGATCTTGGCCGTCAGGTCGGCCACGGTCTCCTCCAGCTCGGCCAGGACGCTGGTCTTGGAGGAGTACTTCATCTGCAGGGCCTCCAGCTCGGCCTCCGTCTCCTCAAGCTGGGACTTCAGCCGGCCGGTGGAATCGGCCTGGGCGGAGGCCGAGCTGGACAGGCTGGCCTGGGCCACCTGAAGCTGGTGGATGCGCTCCTCCAGGGACTTGACATTGTCTTCGAGCTTGTCACGCGCGGCCGTCACACTGGACAGCTTGTGGGTGGCCTCGGACAGCTCGACACGCAGGAGGTTGGCCCCGCGCTCGGCCTCGGCCAGGGTGTTCTCGGCCTCCTTGCGAGCAGAGGACTCCTGCTGCAGGGACTGGTCCTTCTTGCTGAGCTCCGAAGAAAGGTCCTGGATCTTGGCATC